ATTGTGCAAATATCATTACATATATTCAAAACTTTGGTTAGGTAGGACTGCAATGATGCTGGTAGTTCTTCATCTGACAAGGTCAAACAGTCACAAACTCCTCCATGACCATTTCAGGCCGGACATAAGGAAGAACTTATTTACTTATGAACCCCCAAGGTCTGCAATAGACTGCCGCCGGATGTGGTTCAAGCACCTACTTTGAACACCCTCAAGAGACATTTGGATGTTTATCTTGTGGGGATCCTATGACCCCTGCTGACTTCCTGCCCCTGGGGCAAGGGGCTGGACTTGAAGATCTTCTGAGGTCCCTTCCAGCCCTAATGTCTATGAAATCTATGAAATCTACTCTTCCTTTGCTGATGTAATTAGACCAAATTTTAATTCCCCATGCTCTGTGATCAACAGTAATTGTAATAGTGAACACTGCAAATTTGAGACAGTGATACCAATTCTTACAATTTTACCATGAGTCTCATGATAGCTGGAGTTTTTTCTTAAAGCTGAAGATTAATTACATTAATTGATCCATTTAAATAAAGGTAAGTTTCTATCCCTCAGGGTAATGGTGATAAGCTTGAAAAGTGAAGTACAAAGACAAATACAGGGCAAATACAGGGCGAATACAGAAGAACTCTATAACCATCATTTTGAAAGAATCTAATAATTTTTAAGTCAGTGACATTTTCTGATCTATGATTTTGGAAGTGTGAGGTAGTGACATTCTTCTGATGCATCTGAAATAAGTATTTGCCTTGCGGTGTGGATAAAAGCATGGAAATGGATTTGTTTTCAAAAAGTGATTCCCATGACCTAGTGAATCTGTTCTGAATTTGTTTCCTCTGATAGAAAGTTAGGTGCCAGTCCCCTAACTAGGTCTGCAATGCATGGCCTCAAGGATTCACACAGGCACATGGATCCAGCTGCAGTGTTAGGGCATAAGACAGTTTCTCCTTTTTTGTCTTTCATATACAGGCACTAGGGAAAGAAAAAGCACAATAACTGTAAAATCACTGAAAGTGTCTGGCAGACTTGGAGAGGAGTTGTATTAGAAACTAATTTTGGTCAGCTTAATATACAGGGATTGCATCAACTTGAAAACTAACACTGTCTCTCAAATTAAATGATTATAAGGTAGGATGCTGCACAAATTTCACAATTCACATACGGGTACATTGAACTGCTTCTCGAAATGTATCCCCAACTATACTATACTGTAAGAGGGATAATAAAAACTAAGAAGCTGAGATATGTTCATGAATCATGTTTTGAGTTTTCAAAATCAGTAATTAGTAGAACATGACCTACAACTACTTTTAGTGCCAAGTACTTAAAAAGGAATTTACTTTAAATGTTATTAGCTGCACATTTAATTTCAAACTACAATTACGCAAAGTTTTAATTAGTAAATGTTAAGGTACATTTTAGCAATAGTCTTATGATTACTATTTGTAATTCAAGCTATAAACAATATAACTAATTGCATTTATTGGTGAAACTTTACTTCCCACACATGTTAAATCACTTTCAATTATTTCTCTTGTAATCTCTGACCCAGTAAGGTACAGAAATTGTGTGCCTACACTTCAGTAACAGGATAACAGTTTCTGTGTATTCAAGCATGATCTGCACACTCCCTTGCTCTCCATAATATCTTACAACCATGGTCATGCCCATGTGCATGCAGATCCAAAAATGTGTAGGCAGTCTAATTCTTTCGATTAATAAGTATCTTGCCAATGATGGCTGGATATTTTGCTTTGCTGGCTGGCTGAGTCAAAAATCAAAATGGAGGGTTATATTTTGGTTAACCCTTGTACAGACACAGATTAGAGGAGACTGAATAAGATCCTGAGGTCTTTTGGATGCTCCAGACTTCACGAGGGATAGCCATAATGATTCTCCTATGCTCCACGGAATAGCAGAGACTGCTACCAAAGTGCTTTTAAAGGAAGCTCCCCACCAGGCTATGGACTGGGAGAAAAGCTGGCAGAACAGAGCTACTTGGTTGTACAAGGGCATGCTAAACCCTCGAAGGGATATAAACTAGGGAGTTCCAGAAGGTATCCTGCCATTATAAGGCTAAGTCCCTTCTGGCGCTTTTCCTGGAGAAAAAAACAGCTCTGCATAGCTGTCATGATAGATTATTACTAAATGCCACAATCAAACCATGCTTAGGCACCATTAAGGGAGTGCCTGGCAGTTATTTTTCATAATCTCTGCAAGGAAAAAGTAAAAGCCTAAAGATCTTTGGTGCACAATAATTGTGAACAATTAGAAGAGATTCAGCAGCTTCACTTACGCACATACAATATAAAAGATGATCCACTTCAAATTCTATTGTTTATTTCACCTTCTGTGGTTACAAATTAAAACAGAGGGTTACAGGAAGGCACTGCACTCCAAATAAAGATACATGCTTCATATGGATATGGGATGAGCAGCTGCATACAAGGACTCCAGAACTGCTGTATCCACATTTATGTGAACCTGCTGACTCAAAATACTTGCAAGGCAAGTGTGAAGGAGGTGCAGTTGCTCTAATACTCTTTAAGGACTCATGAAGTTCCCTTAAGCCCAACAGCCCAATCTGTGTGCGTGTGTGTGTGCACATGTGTGTACGTGCATGTGTAAGACAGAATGTATTAACTTTAAGATCATTACTTTCCACACAGTACTGAATTTACTTAAAATATTAATCAGACATGACAAATGATGATGACGACTGTAGAATCATAAACACTATGGATCAGTATTTGTTTTAATTATGTTTTGGTGCAATCTTAATCTAAGCTTGGTTTTACTAATTGGTTATGATGGTGGTCAAGCTGGTATCAAATTTATCTTTAACAGTATATGCAAAAATAAGTTAATTCCCTATGATTTTTAAAATAAGGCCTATTACATTAAATATACTTTTCATGCCTAGTTTTGCATAACAGATATGTGATGTGCCAGTGATTATATATTATATTCTTCCTCCCATGCATGTACCTCCTGCAGAGATAGCAGACTACAGAAGCTGACCCTTACTGAGACCATCTTGTCTCTCTGACAAAGCTCCTTTTTAACTTCTTACTTACTGGTTACTTCCTGTGATGGAGAAAAACTTTAGCTCAGCTTGTGATAATTTCACAGGCCCTGAGCACCCTGACCCCAGAAGCCCCAAGGTCAGAAGTCAAGTCTTGTTCTGAAACATCTGTGTGCTTCATATTAAAGTAGAACAAAAGTGGAGAAATATCCACCAGTGTGACGAGAGAATCAGGCAAAATGGGAACAACACACTGGTCATCTGTTACCCATGCCATCTCAAGCCCCTGACAAAAACGTGACGGAAAGAACTTTACTCACTAAAGTTTCAAACCACCTTCAAATAGGTACTTTGTTTGTGACAAATGACCAAAGGTCTCAAACACTGAAGCACTGAACACTGAAGCATTTCCTTCTGTCTTACATTTGGAAATGAACATAAAATACATTCATGTAATATATGTGCATGTGTCTGGTATGTGCTATCAAACAATAATACTTTACAAAACCTCATGAAAACTGAAGATACTTCCGTTTCAAAAGATAACACACACTAGAACAATCTAACAGTCTGAGTAATTGCAACTTCACAGCTTACAAAAGGGAGAAAAAGAAACAGTTATTTCATGCCATACTGGATATGCAGAACAGAAGTCAGACATTTATGCAGGAGCATTTGTAACTTGAAATTAATAATGACATTGTGTTATATAAAGTATCATTTACAATTACAAAACTTGGTGTTTTGATAATTTAATTTTGGAGGAATGAAAGTCAAATTGTACAATTTGTTGACCAGTTAGTAAAACAATTGCATGATTAGATTAGTTAAATCATTCTCAGGTTTCAACACTTGTGCATATAATGTGCTTTTAAATAATCAGACTGGAGGAAACAATGAGAGAACCCAAATAGTCTTAATTTCTGCAACAGGGAAAACAAACAAAGGAATCAACAAAAACTTGTGAAATCGAGCAAGCCCTGCTGCTCCTGCTTTCTTGTTGCTGAGAAGTGCTCAAACATCCATCAGGCATCTATTTTATCCCAGAGCAGAACAATAGTTAAAACTTTAAAAACAAAATCAAATACACTCAACATATGACTATTGTAGTTGTAATGCTTTGAATCAAGTTGTAAAATCTCTTGATCATTTTGGTCCCAGTCCTGCAGTTAGACGATTAATTTTACACATATAAGTAACTGCAGTGGACCAATCAAACTATTCACATATGCAGTGAAACACATGTGTGTGTTTTCTTAATCAATGCACAGCCAAATCAGGCAATGCTGGTATCATAAGATTGTTTTAGGACTAAACTACTGTTTCCTAGATAAAATGTACATAAAAAACCCAGCAAGAAACCAGTGTTTATAAACTGAGTGTTTTAGGTCTCCTACTAATCTTCAGTCCTCACAAGAAACCATTTTTAAGGTTTTTTATAAATTACTTTTTAAATCAAACACTTGAATACTTTAATATCTTGCAAATAAAATCAGGAAGCATAACTGTGGAGCCCATACTCTTCTGTGGAGGAATAAACTATATGGTATTGTGACAATTATGTGAATTTAGACATAGCTCAGCTTCCTCTCATTGCTTCCATGAAATGTAATGGACTACCTTGCTTTCCAGGAAAGCCTGGCCATCAAGACCTTCAATCTCTGCACAGGCACAGAACTATCTGCACAGAAGACTTACCATACCACTTCTTGGAATTCTTTCACACTGGGACCGATCTAAAGATGAAATCAATATAATTTACTTTGCCTTTCCTAACTTCTGTAGATAAAGGGTGGGGGGAGCAATGGGCTATATGCAACTGCCTTCTAATTCAACAAATAATAAAGACAAAATAGACTATTTTTTTATTTAGACTCAATTATGCTATGTCAAAAGCTACCAAGAACTATAAGTTGTTCTTCCTTGGAAAACCCTTAGGATATAAGACAATGCAGAAGTCAAAACTTACCAACTCTACGAATGCAAGTCCACCATAACTGTGAGCAACAAAAAATATGTTCTCAGCTGCTGACTGAGCAATAAAGTGGTCCCACACATAAATTGCATGTTCCTCAGGAGAGCCATTATCCTACATAGAGAAATGATATTATTCATTATAACCTGTTGAAAATTAACAGTTCAATTTACAGTAATATAATCCAATTTTAAAAAAAAATGTTCTGTTAAAGGTAAACACAAATAAATTTACTCAGTACCAAGTATAAATATATTCATTTGTCTATGAAAAAGACATTTAAGAGTTTATTTTAAAGTTGAAAATCCCATTTTTTAAATACACACAAAAATGTGCATTTATAGAAATCTAAACAGCATAACAGCAATTCTGTAATATTATTCAAACAAATTGTACGATTCAAACTTCTGACATTTCTTATGTGAAGTATTTGCTCAGTAACATGCTTAATAAGTGAAGATTAAATCTGGTACAATTAATAACAACAATATTATAATAAAAGCTCAATCTCAATTTTAGTATATTTTCCCTTTTTGCTATACTTTTTCATATCTAGCTGCATAAAATACGGGTTAGCACCAATATGACTCAAAAGTTAAAATCTTGGTGGCATTTCTAAATTGAACTTTTAAACCCTACTTATTTTATATTATTTTGCAACTATAAAGTTAAAATGCAATATAGAAAGAGCATCTCTTAACCAGTGTCAAGTACTACTTGTGTTGGAGCTAGAGTTTTGGTAGGTCAAGTTTTTTGCTCATTAAAGAACAGGACTTGGAATCAGAATATCTGAGTTTTACATTGCCGTTTCTACTCATTCATTTTCTATGCGACTTAAACTGTATCTCACTTTTTAGGCCTCATAAGAATGTATGTAATAAAGATAATATTTCAACCAGGAAAATTTTAAGTAACCTATATAAAAATCATGAATAAATACTAGTGAGGGCAAACAAAAGCCACAAGATTCTAATGATATAAATTATAATTCAACTGTAAACAATTTTCAAAAAGTTGAGGTAAGTTAGGTATTCCTAACTTTTGGGATTTAGGCTCATATGTACCTAAAGCCTTGGTCTGCAAAAAATATTGAGGTACCTATGATACTTCTTTTGCGTTCTTAGCACCCAAAATAAGTATCATATGCCCAAACATTTTTTGGGATCTGGTCCTAGGTCACTCTGCAACCTGGAACTGTGATTCTTAAATTATTTAAGCACATTTTTATTTACTTCCCCCTGAAGTAGAAAAAATTCAGAAATATTTATCAAGCTTGCAACAGAGCAGACTCTACTACTGATTGGTTAACTCTAAGTAGCATAATACATTTTAACCTATTAGATAATGACTACTGTATAATTTCTTAAAGTGAGGGGTGGGATATTTTTTGCCTTTTGACCCTGGTATTTCAATTTGATCACAACAGAGATGCAAGTAACCACCAACATACCTCTGAAGACACGATTGGGGCCCTAGTGAAGACAGAGGGAAATGCTTTTTGATTCAGTTACAAAAGCTGAGATTTGCAAATGAATACTTTTTTTCTCTAGAGATTTAAAGGGGGGGAACAGGGAACCATGGGACAGAGTATATTAAGGGATGCATCTTTTATTTGGGATCACTATACAGAAGGTCTATGTTGTAGGAAAATAACATTTTCCCACAGAGAAGCTTTCTTTAATCAATTACTGTGAATGAAATTTGGAGTTTGTTTCTAATTAATAATAGTACTCTTTCTTGTAAAAGCAATTTATAAGGTGTGTAGTTCTGGTTTAGAGCACTGACAAAATGAGAAAGATATCAGTTGTTTCTAATTAAAAGCTGTGTGCTCAGTCTTGGTGCATCTCATGTTTATTATTCTGTATATCATTAGGGAAAAAGCGCACCTCCTGAGGGCTTTCCCAAGGACTAGAACAGCAGCAGGAAGTTTCCAAAGGATTCAGAGATCTAGTGGCAGTTCAGATAGCTCTCAGCAATTAAAGCAAAACTTGCATTCTAGTAAACTAAATTATTATCCCCAGAACTCCATGTTAGCATCAAGAGTCAACACGTTTTCTCAATAGCAGTGGTTCTCAACCTTTCTGGACTTGAGGCACCCCTTGTTTGACAGGAGGCACCCCCCAATTTATGTAAATTAAGTAACACCCCCATTTCAAACACTAATTTATTACAATGATTATCTCCTTGCAGAGAGGCTGGGTAGTGGTTGAGAATCACTACTCTGCAGAAAATCATACACTATCCAAAATTCATTGCTTAAGGACCGTAACTGCTGTTATCTAGTGATTGCTCACCTGTCCTAGTGTAAGATACGTCATATTTTTGTACATTTTCTAAGCTTTAGCGAGAGTTAAGGGTGTTTATGCGGTGGAGAGGAACCAGGGTGACAACCCACCCCTAATTGGGCCCGACAGCCCTGAAAGGACAAGATCAAGTCCTGGTCCCGGGCTACGTGACTCTGGGACGGCATTTGTCCTGGATTCACAGTATTGTGCAGGGATCTGGGCTTTCTGTTCACCATGGAAAAACATGGGAAACAGTGGGTTTCGCCTTGCAGGATGGCAGAGTTCTAGCTTGCAAGGGGCTGTGGCGAGCAGGATGCAGGGCCACACACATGCACATGGCCAGCAACACAGCCGAAGACACTGACGGAGAGCAGCTCCCCTAACTGCCTGCAGGTAAGTCTATGGGGGGCCCACAGGGTGAGGGAGGGGGAGTTGGACAGGGTTAGTAGCTGTGGCAGGGAGGCACTGCCCAGCCGGGGGCATGGAGTCCAGGGCAGGAATGTGTGGACACAAGACCTGGCTGGGGAGCAGGACAGAGCCATGGAAGGCTCAAGGGGCGGGGGGGAGCTCCCCACTGCTGCATGCACTCTCAGGGAGGAGGGAATGGGCATTTGTGTGCAGATTTGTGCACAGGGCAGGGGAGGACGGGGGCTCAGGTCTCCCTACCCTGCTGTCCTGCCCCTAGGAGCCTCGTGCTGGTCACATTGCCATTGTGAGGTGCCCCCTGCCTGCCTGGCAGCAATGGCTCATAGTTGTGCCCCTTTTTGCTACCAGGTGGGCAGGAGGACCTTGCCATGGCAGCGCAGCTGGAACAAGGCTCCCAGGGGCAGGACAACAGAGTGGGAAGCCCCAAGCTTGCAGTGGGCAGCCTGCATATGCCCCCACCCCCTATGGGCTGCACTTGGCTCTGCTCTGGCAGTGCTGGGGGGGGCGGGGGAGAGCGGCATGTGTCCTGCCTTCCAATTTGGAACAACCTAGGAGGAGCTTTAGCCTGCAGAAAACATCAGATCTCTTTAGGATTTGGAATTATGATGGTTCCATTACAGCTTGGGGATTAACTGGATTTGTCTCGCCTTGAATAAATTATGATGCTGCGTACTATAGTTTTGATATGGAAGGTAACAGTTCAAGGAAGGTGTTGCTCCCCTTCCTTTCACTACTGTTAGACTATGTTGCACTTACATGCCATCTTGTTAAATTATTTTAATAAAGTGGAAACCTCTTGGTCATACTTGACATAATTTTCCATATGACCACAAAAGAAGGGAATTAAAAGTTATATCACTTGCTTTGTAAGGTAGTAGTGAGGATTAATTCAGTTTCACTTTTTGACTGTTTTAAGACCATTGGCTGGAAGGATGTTATAAAAGCTGAGGCCAAAATTTTCCAAATAACATGTCTGAATTTATAGATCTAAATCCCATAATTCTATGCTTAAATAAATGGCTTGATTTTTAGATGTGTTGAAATTGATAACAATGTGGGGTTTTAGCACTGTGAAAATCAATAATTTATTCACAGTCCTAAACATGTTTTTATAGGTGCCTATCCTAAGGCATCCATCTTTGAAAGGTTTGTCTCCAATGTATTTTTACTAAAAATGTATTTTTTTCTTTTTACCCTGATATTCAACTCGTAAGTTGCTTCCTGTAGATTTTAAATTAAATTTGTCTCTGGTGACTTCACTGCAGCAGATTTTTCTTATCTTCTGCCTTATAAGAAGATCTTTTGTGCATTTTATATTGAGTTTAACCTATTTCTTACAAATTATAGCAAGACTCAATAAAGATTTTGTAGACTCATGCTTGTTTGACTAAATTATTTGAGTCATGCTTAAAAAGAGGGAAGGATTTGTGTGTGTGTTTTTAACTTTACTTGTCTTGGAGTTACCAGTTGGAATTTAGAAGTCACAACAATCCAACATTCCCAGTCATAAACTATAACTGTAAAGTATAAAACTGTTGCAGTTTAAAAGTCTGAGGGTCAGATTATGCCATACAAAGGGGCTTGAAGGGACACTGTACTGCCTGGTGTAGGATAGCTGCTTACTGCAACGATTATGATCAGCGCCCTCTACCCCTCCCAGTTGCTGGTAAAAGGTAAGGGACATGGTGATGGGGTGCCTCACCAGTCATGATCTTCACTGGTTTAAGAGTATGGGGTGACATCATGCCAATAACAGAAGTTACAGCTGCTCCCCTGCATTTTTACTTTAGGTTTGGGCTGGATGGTTGAGGATCAGGAAGCTTTAACCTGGCAGAGCCCCTTACAACTTTGCTAGGTGGGCGATGGAGGATCTGCCTGAGACTAAAATATCCAATATGGTTTATAATGTACTGTTACTATGGAAAATCTTACATACGTCATTAATTTTTAAAGAACTTTTATATAAGGTTTAATGTGCTACTTAATTCATAAATAAGCAGCAACACTTAGATATGTATCTTAATGGCTATCTTAATTTTCAACCTTTTTCTAGTAGAAAACAGGAAGAGTAGACTTTATATGCTGTCAGTAGGCATGTCTACACGTGCCTATTAGCATGTAGCAATAAGCTCTGCAGCTTACTGCTGCTGGACGTGCATCTGTACATGCACCTGGATTGTAGCACACTGAGCTGGGTTGTAGCAGTCCTGGCTGCCAGGGTACCCAAGAGGTCAGCTTGCCAGCCTGGGGCTGCTCTGATACAGCTCAGTGTGCTGTGTAGGGGTTGACTGGGGCATGAGCGTGATTCAGCACAGGGCTTGCCAACAGGCAGCCCCCACACTGAAGCACCTTTGCACCCCAGCCAGCCAGGTCGGCATCTACACATATGCTGATGCTCAAAAA